GGACTTGTTGTTTTCTCTAGGTTTGGTTTGTTTCTCTACAGCTTGTAGACACCCCATTTTTGACCGTCCTCGAGACTTGGTTGTGCTTGCAGGTGCACCCAACAACTAATTCCATTGCTCACTGAGTACTCAACTGTCGCGGCGGAACGTCACCGGTTCGAGCTTCCTGGACCTTGTATCCTTTCTGTCCCTTTTTTGGACCTTGGCTAGGTCCTTTCAGAGTGACCCTTTTGGTGCACTGCCGGCCATGGCATGGAACTGCCGGCCATTGCTTTGCTCATGCCGGCCACTGGTGAAGCCCTGCCGGCCATCAGTGAGCCACTGCCGGCCATTACTGATGGCCGGCACCCCCCTATTTCAGCTGGTTTTCCTCCAAATCTTTTGAGCCAGCTGGATTTTCATACTGTGATACCCCTGTTCCGTAATATGCTAAATTGGTCCTTAATTTGAATATGATTATGTGTTCAGCATGACTTTATGTGCCATTATGTGATTTTACAATTCTATCTGTTTACTGTAGGAATATCTGTTTGAGTAAACTACTTTGGGAATTAAATTGAGGGCCCTATCGGCCATAGAATCTGAAATTGATCGCGCCATTGTGATTGGCGTAATTTTTAGAGCCTACGGTGCAGTTTAATTGAAAATTGATTTGGGTCAGATTAAATCGATTAAATTGATGAATTAAGTGCCCAAATATTTTATAATAAAATAATGTGTTGAGTGGGGCTAAATAGGGGCCTTATTATGATCAATTCCTCACCCTTATATCATTTTGGCTGAAGTTTAACTCTCTAGAAAAGAGAGAGTCGACATTGAGAGAGAGGGGAGGCACCTTTGGGCATTTTGATTCAAAATTGTGAATTGGGAAGGCTAGGTGCAAGACTTGGCCATAATTGTGAAGATTGAGCCTCTAGGTAAGCATTGATTCTTGAATTCATGAGTTTAATGTGTAATCTTGTGTGTTCAAGGGTTGTTTGTGATCAAGAGCATGATTTGAGATCATTTTGTTGAAATTGAGGCTTGATATGTGCATGCATGTAATGAACTCCCATGGAATCACAAATCTAGCATGTAATTTGTGAAATTATGAAAGATTGGTAGTGTAACCCCACATGCAAGCAGGTCTTTGTTAAATTTTATGGGAATGAGCACTAATTACATTATTTGAAGTGAATATGAAGTCAAGAGGGCATGCATGTACAAATCATGGGAGTATAAGTCTTGAATGTTTGAATTTGAGCATGTTGGTGATGAGGTTGTGATATTTTGGGACATGCATGCAAATAAATTATGAAATTGAGCTTCAATATGTTGTAAATTATGCTTGTACCATGTTAGTACATGTCTATGAGTAATTTGAGCCATAACATGCATAAATTGTTGGTTGATAGTCGAAGTGAAGCTCAAGAACACAATTCTGGGTTTTCCAGAATTTTGAGGTCCGCTCGAGCGGGGAACCTGCCGCTCGAGCGGGAAATGCGTGCTCCCAGTACTTTTTGCAGACTTGATGTCCGCTCGAGCGGGGGAGCTATTTTTGACAGGCCTTCCGCTCGAGCATCCTATTTAACGCTCGAGCGTATTTTTGATGTAACCAGCGCTTTTGCAGGCCTTAAGGGTCAGCTCGAGCGGGGTGTTCCACGCTCGAGCGGGGACCCAGTTTTCTGAAACTCTGAAAATGCATTCTGTGTTATATTTTTCCGTTCTCTTTCACCTGTAAGCACTCTTAGGCATGCATTGAGCATTGTAAATGAGTTAACGAGTTAAGAATAAAGCCTAAAAAGGAATATGTGAATTAGAGAACGGATTGAACTGTTAGTGACCCTTTTGTGTTCATGAAATATGTAGGGTCAAGCTCCAGGGCAAATCCACAAGCCGATCACTGTGAGCAATATCAATATTTGAATGATTGTGAATGTCCAATTATTATTCCCTTATAAGCTTTATGAGTTGCTAATTGGGATTGTGGACAAAAGTCTGACAGGAATAAACATAAATGGACCAAAGGTCGTTTTGATAACAAAAGAACGGACCGAAGGTCGTTTTGACATATATGAACGAACCAAAGGTCGTTTTGACCTATATGAATGGACCGAAGGTCATTTTGACATATATGAACGGACCTAAGGTCGTTTTGACATAAATGAGCGGGCCGAAGGCCGTTTTGACGTAAACGAATGGACCGAAGGTCGTTTCGATATGAATAAATGGACCGAAGGTCGTTTTGATAGAAATAAATGGACCTAAGGTCGTTTTGACATAAATGAGTTGGCCGAAGGCCGTTTTGACATGAATGTATGGGCTGAAGGCCGTTTTGACGTAAACAAATGGACCGAAGGTCGTTTTGATATGAATAAATGGACTGAAGGTCGTTTTGATAGAAATAAATGGATCTAAGGTCGTTTTGACATGAATGAGTGGGCCGAAGGCCGTTTTGACACGAATGTATAGGCCGAAGGCTGTTTTGACGTAAACGAATGGGCCGAAGGCCGTTTTGACATAAATGGAAATCTAAATGGGCCAAAGGCCAGAATGTTTAGAACTACAGTCACTTGATTTGAATTTCGTATAGTTATATATCTGTTAAATGGAAATATGAATTGGGCCTAAGGCCGTTTGGAACATGTTGTTCTACATTGTTATGTAACTTCTGTATTTGATTTGATATACTTCACTGGGCTTTCGCTCACGCTCATTCATGTGTTTGTAGGTGAGCCAAGAGAAGTCCAGACCCAGCCTCAGTGAAGTTTGTACGGAACAACTAAGGTTTTGAGAGACTCAGCCCTTGTGTCTCACGCATGAGACCCGTCTTCGCCCTTTTGTCATGTATTTACATTTTGTCAGGTTGGCGAAGTTCCGAATGCGTCTGCTTATAGTTTTTATGGGTTGACTTAGTTTTGGATGATCCTGTCTGTACAGAACCTATGTCACTATGTTTCTGTCGTGAGTTATTAACGTACATATGTTTGGAATGTTATGACGTGCATATAAGCGCAGCTCTATGGACAAAGTTTTAAATTGCTTCCGTTTGGCCCCCATTAACTCTGTTAAAATACATTTGGTTTGGTTTAAGGCCGTAGGTAATATCATGATTACTGGCCGGTTACGTCTTTAACCCACAGGGGGGCGGGTTTGGGTCGTGACACATTTGCTCCCCTCCATACACGTGTATGGAGGGATGAAGCCCTTGCAAAGCTTTTTGAAGAAGCTTTGCCTTTTTATCCTTCTATTTAAAGAGGATGCCATCCTCTTTGATAGAGGTTCTGAGTTTTGGAGAGCAAAAAACTCAATTTCTCTCTATATTGTTTGTATTTTGTGCTCAGAAATTGGATTTCCTTGCACTTTTACACTACAACACCTAGATATACACCACTACCATTGAACCAAGCTTCTTGGGAGGTCTTCTTGAGATCTAAAAGCAAGCTTCCACCCTCTGAAATTGCTGGTTTCGAAGAGGGTCTTCAAGGGTGAGCATTTCCCCATTTTTTGTACTTTTTTGCACCTTGCTTTAGCCCTCTTTACAATTGATTTAGGCTTTGCTTATAACTGGAAAAAGTCTTGTTTTTAAGTCCTTTTTAAGTTTGGTTAAGGTCATTTTGCTGTTTGGGGTGTGTAGCCCCCTTGCATGCCTTGTTTGGCTTTGTTTTAAGCCATATCTTGAGGCCTCCGAGCTAGCCTTGGTTTGGCCTTCCAACCACTGAAATCCAATGGGATCTTAGTGGTAAAAGGGTGGTTCTGAGGTCCTAAATCAGAGGGGGTAGTCCCCTCTCTTTGTGTTCCTCTTTGCTTGCATTTTTGGCCTTTCAAAGGACCATCCCTCTATGTATTTTTAAGGCTTGGTTTAGGCCTATTTTTGTGACTTTTAGGACCTTCCTTGGCCCTGTCCATGGCTGGTTTGGTCATATTTTGCATGCATATAGTATGTGTAGTGTAACTCCATCCATAGCTCATCAAAGTAGCATGTGTTCTTGGCTTTTGTTGAGTCCATTTCAGTCCATTTTTGGTGATGTTTTACCATGCCATGAACCTCCAGTTCGGTCTAGGCAAACTAATTCCTT